GTCCGGACTGACAGTGCGCCGCGGAGGGGCTGCGGGTGAGGATGGTGAATGCGGCTGTTTAGATATTATTTAGCAGTAAATCGCAACGGGGGTGTAACGCTGACGCGGCAACACGTTAAAGGCGGAACCCAGACCAGATGCCGTCCACCCTTTTGCTCCCGCCGTCTATCCCGCTATTTTCCATCCTTCTCGCCGATCGACCCTTCTCTTTCTCGGCTTTATCTGCCGTTAGTCGGCTGCCGGAAATCATCCAAAAGACGCGCCCGATGACGCGGGCCTAGTTAAGTTTAACGATGCGAGGTAAGTTTAGATTATCTTCGCTTTTATTCGCAGCGCGTAGGAACGGACGTGAATGATACGCCCGAAGGATTGATCGAGTATAAAACGTATCGAAAGCGTCACGTCGAAATCACTGATTTTCGAGATAAGCGCATATAGGATAAATTCTATTCTACTTTTCCATTCGAAAATCCCGTTGTTAAAATCAGGGGAATGTTTTCCCGTTGGCTTTTTCAGCAGGTGCCGTTTATGCGCCGTAAGTGCGTAATTGTTAAACTCGTGTACTGCGCGTGTCCCGGTAATTTAATCTTATTACACGTTACAACAAAGGAGGCGGTTATAGTGATTTAACGTAGTAATGGTGCTAACTGTACCGCAAGAGTGTCAGTAATTGGTAATTAATGATCTACTCCGGCTCGATGCCACGAATTCAATGAAATCGTGAATATGACACAACGTCGTCATGCCGCGGTTATCTGTTCACCCCATGCGCTTTAATTACATCGAGTTGCAGATTACGGTGCTGACTCCATAATGTGTAGATGTGACATCGCAAGGTCGGATCGAATATTTCAACATTGGAGAATTATGTCTCGAGAATTATTTCATTTCTGTGAAGAACTCTTATTGGAGAGAGTAGAGAAAAGAGAAAGTAGAGAAAAGAGAGAGAAAGGGAGAGAGAGAGAGAGAGACTTCGCATTTATCATTAAAATATCTCCAGGCGGGTTACCTTTTATATGTGCACAATGGAAAGAAAAAAAAAAACAGAATACAACACGGGGAAAAAGGAATTCACTGAAAATTTTACTTCTACTGCTTCTACAGCATGCAAAGCTTCCGTAAAGTACACACTGAGAATCCAACAAACACAAGGCTTTCGTTCCTCTGTACTTTAGCTGATTACACCACTAATCGGAGACTTTTTCGAAAATAGGAGGAAAGCGTATGGGAAAAAACAGCGGATACATACGCGATATGAAAGTTTCAAGGAATGGTAAGAGGGATAAAAATTGGTACGAATTGTTGTACGCTTGTACGTTTTGTTGATGTTTACGCGATAATAGTATATTATTATGATAATGTCAAATAGATTCGCAGTAGTATTAAGCTACGTCAATAGGTAATCAGCGATCTATCCCGGTTCGATGTGCGCAAGTTGGATCATTACGACATGATGGTATGTTATATTCAGGTTATTTACTAATCCCTGCGATATAGTTACACCGACGACCGTCAATATTATCGCTGCGTCGATTGCGGGATTTTATCAGGAAAATAGTCAACGAATCACTATATTACGAAATTGTGGACAATATTTTTGAATCATAAATACGTGATTTATCCGTTAAAATTACTGATTGTTTGTGGCAAAAGTTCTCACATTATTTGCGACCAATGCATACGTAATGCGAGATATTATTATGCCTTTTTAGCTTCTAAAATATTATCGTTTGGAAAGCATTATTATTAGAGATTACAACATGTGAGAAAAAATAGCTCGGGTTTATGCCAATATTCTCTCTCTCTCTCTCCTTCCACCTTCTTTCTTCGTTTCCCTCTTTTTTCCGACGCTTACTCGGAGGTTTTTACATCGTGACGTCGCAATGCATCGGGAAACAAACGCGACCGACGGCGGAAGCGGATTTGTCATCGCGAGCGATGCTGTGATGCATCATACCAAAGTGGATGGTAAACGGATTTGTGTGACCTCCATGGTGTCGGGGCGTTTTTCTCGAAAATTGTTGAGGGAATTCGCACTATCGCGGGCATCTTTGCTACGTTCGCCACTTTCGATCGGAGCGAGTTGTAATCAAAGGTTTGCAACAGTTTGTTGAACATTCAGCTATATTTTTTTTTTATTAATATAATAATAATAAAACAACATACATCATGTTCAATCAAAGTTTCGTTAATCATCATTTTACGCCGTCAGTCGTCTGATTCTACAATTGTAAAATGGCTCATCTTTTGAGCCAATAAAATCATCACTGATCCGAATTTTTGCAAGCTTCTATCTAACATTTTCACACTAGTATGCAGCTAAGGTAATGTATGATATTTACACAATATAGTCGATGTGTCTCATTATCTGATACGGAATTACTCAATTTATAACGCGCATATAATTAAAAGCATGTGAGGCGCTCTAATCGAATGTGATCACGTATGCAAATAACTATGCCAGCTAAACCGCGTTTTCCCGCAAGCATAACGACGAGCTTAACGGTGTTAATATATTGCGAAATTAATGCATTTCTGTGTCTTTCGACAGAGAGGGCGTCTGGAATAGTTCGATAGTATAGAGTTTCGTCGTTAGTCCGGTAATATCGTTAACCTATCAGAGAGCAGTTGTGCCCGCGTCCCTCTAATGCGTAACTACGATATTCCCCGATGACCCCAGCCATTTACCACCCCTTACCGTCACTTTGCGAACCCTCACCCTCCCGCGGGATGCGGATAGATAATCACGCCATCATTCCTAATGCATCGGCGTGGTGCTCCGAAATTTAGGCGGATTCTAACGGACACCTAATCTCGTGAAAACTGTGTAGGATAATAGAGACGATAACAAGTTGCGGTCTAAATAAAAGGATCGAATCGGAGTATTCGCTTGTTACAAAACGTATCGTCCGGTAGAGCTTTGTTCAATCTCACGCGAGCACGTTACGAGGAAAGAGTAAATAGATGGACCATTACGTATATACGCGACGACTGAGGGAGTTGTAAGTGAAGCGCCGCGGAGAAAGGAATGGACGGACGTACAAGGGTGATACGGCGCGTATAAAGTACGGGGGAAGAAGAAACAGCCTTCGTCTTCGACGAGAGATTATTTGCTACGCCGAACAAATGGAGATTGTTCACTCAGGAGGAGCTCGCTCGGTACTCGCTCGGTGGCATGAAACTTACGATTTCGAATGAGTTGTCGATGCTGTTGAACTTCGGACTGCCCGAAAGGATGTAGTGATGCAACCGTTCGTTGCAGAATGATTTATAAGTAGGTTAGAATTGCGTCTCTCTCTGGGTCGAAATTTCACGAAAGCTCGCGCGAGGTACGTGAACATACATAACAGGCAGGTAATAAAGATATGATGAGATAATAAATGAATATGCGAAGTAGAAAAGTCGATTATATGCGCGCGATCGACGGATAATTTTCTCATTGTCATAAATAATGAATGAGAAAGAATATCTGTACGCGCGCGGAGTAACACGATAGAGTAGCGTCGATTCCGTAATCCTATCGCACGTCACTGCGATTATACGAATCGCTTCCGTCTCGTATTCGACACGATGACAAGACTGATTCGCAGATATCGCTTCTCCGATATATCTATCTGATCGCCGTTTCCGAAATACCTCACTTATAACGTTGCTTTATTCTCGATCGCCACATACGTACGTGGCCCATATACGGAAGTCACATATAAGTCCACGTATGTGATGTATGTTCCCGATACTATGCCCTCGCAGATCGTCCGATTCAATGTATCTCGGTGTCACGTAGATAGATACGAATGTATCGATACTCATAAATAGAGTTACCACCACGATGTACTCGGTGTCCTGAAAACGCGCCAGTTTCTGCCAGATCTTTGTTCTTGTGAAGCAAAGGAATTTGTGCCACTCGTTTATCTCGCGTTACATTTCCTGGGGTTATCGATACACGAGAGATAGCGATGGTATTCCGCCGATCACCCTTATTTCCGAAGGTTACGCTCGAACGCGTTAATCAACGAGGCAAGAACATTCGGGCTAATGTGAGCAAAGACAGAGTGTTTCACGGAGCTGCAAACGGGTCATCATGGTCCGTTGTTCTATAGCGCGATGTAATTCATATTTTGCAACAAGAAAATACATTTTTCAACTTTGGTCCGCTAAAACGTGACAGTGTTAATTGACTAATTCATTCCATTTAAAAAAGAGGTCAATTTTCCCTTTGTTCTTTAAAAGACCACTACGGAAAGACAAGTATTAATCCGAATTGGTTGGTACCATTCGAAAAATTATAAATAGATAGGGTAAGAAAGGATTTCTTGAATATCTTCAAGACAATCGTGACGCTTGTGTGTTGAAGAAAGTGTGGTTCCGGACGAAAGAACGAAGTTCTACGTCGAGCGCGTTGAATTCTGTTAATCATATCCAGTTTCGCTCCATAAAGGGATCTCGCGCAAAGGGCGCGACATCTTCGGCGAAAGAAATTTTAATTAAAGCTTCTCTTATACGGAAGGGGCGGATTCTAATTACGGAAAAGGCATTCCAACGTACGCGAGAGGAACGCAATCTCGCGTTTCTTGTTATCGCGCAAACGTACTTATCGCGGCTCCTTGATTCCGGCGATTAAGCGGCGCACCGCATTTTCCCGATCGAACTCCGCCGTTCGGTATCGACGGTGGAAGACACTACGTAGGACATTCAATTTCACGTGACGGAAGAGTACATCAAAGACGCGCGATATACGTTCTACGATATACGAGCGCACAGGCGTTTACGTGACTTCCTGAGAGACGGTTAGGTACATGGCGATCGAATGAAACACGACGGAAATGATGGTCAAGCGGAGCTTCTGAGCGAGTGAAGTGACAGACAGACGGATACTATTCCTTTATTAGCGGCTAAATGGAACTTTAAAGAGCCGCGTGCTTGATGGACGGGAGTTGCTTAAGCGATATATACTCTCTGTCAGAAGCCGCTGGGCTGTTGTTGCACGTAAGCCAGTTGACGTAAGAGAGTGCGTCGAGAACGTAACTTTGCGCGAACGTAAGAGATACAACACGAGTGTAAACTTTACGGATCACTTTGTTGGACATTAAGTGCTTCCGCAGACTTCTTCTACCGCGTTGAGAAGTTGCGCAATTTTACTTACGAGTTTCGATACAGGGAAAACGGCAAGCGGTCAGATAACGGAATAACCACTGATAATGAAAGTCAATCAAAAAATTGGAGATTCAAATATTACATGACATATAGATGTGATCTAGTTGCAAAAACAAATCGTGCAAACGTTTGAACTTGGAGAAATACCCACAGGAAAGCAGAAATCGTCGGTAGAAATATTCGATAATGGTGCACAGATATTCATTTCCCTGATGATATCGTCGTCTTCAATTTTCTTTCTGCGGATAACGAGCCAATTTCGAATCTCACGGGCTTAAACGGTCCATTGCTGGCATGTCATTGCGATAAAATTAGAGGAGCTCCGCTCTTTGCTATTTGAACTACCATAATCTTACTTGCGTCTCTGTTACTTTGTTCAAATATCTACACAATTTCGAAGCTTTGTTCATAAAAACTTCCGAACAAGTGTACACTTTCTCCAGTAGCTTCATCACAGTCGAATAATTTTCCAAACAGGTCTCGAGGCAACAAACAAAGATTGTCAGTGTTGGAAAGTCGATAAGCTGGCGTTGCTTAGTGGTACGTGCCCGAACTAAGCCCGTGAAACACGAACGGTATGTCTATATATGACGTAAAAATTGCTAACTAGTTTCACATTATTGGAAAGTTTCGGAGCGATTGACCGGAGGCGGCCTCCACGGTCCTACCTGGATACGGTGGCGAAGTTAAACAGCAAAAAAACGTACAGCGACCAATCGATGATGGCGCACGTACGCGGCGGAAAGATCAAATACTTATCGTTGCGAGTTAAGTGTACCCACGTTGTCTCCTTCGCGAGAGATACGATTGAGAAATTTGATTCGTTTAATATTACGGATAACAAAGACGTCTCACTCGAAAACTTTCTCCGATGTCTATGTGAATCGAAGTAACTTATCGTCGAGAGGAGTCCTTGTCTCAAAAAGCGTTTGAAGTTACATGCTCTACTGCAACTCGTTTCCCACCATCTGGGAAGTTCCATCCAGGTTAACTCGCTAATCCACTTTGACCGCGAAGTAGTTTGCTAAATACTTTCATCAATTCTCTTCCTCGCCTTTGATCGTAGCTTGATACTCATTGTTCCTGCTCGCGTTAAGCATTTCTGGACATTTTCGCTCGAGCAACGTCGTGTAGTAAGAAATTTCGCTAATGTATTGTATTATAAACTTCGAGAGAGATTGGCGTGTAATCATGTTATACTTCAGTTATATCGTTCTGATTATCGCTGGAATATGAAAATAATTTACAAAGTTTCAAGTGTCAGACTGTTAAAACCGAAAAAAGGAAAGCCTTGTTTTAAACAGAAAATTATTTAATTCCGAGTCAGTTGAAAATTTCCGACGCAGTCACTACATAAAATGCTCGTTTATTTCTTCGTGAATATTATTAAAACTTTCCAACGTTTTCCAAGGGTAATTTAACCGACGTCAAAGAAGACAAAGCAACACAGAAAGTTGATTTAATGTGAATAAACTGCCGGTGGAACTCCATTTCCCTTTTTGTAATGATATATTTCCGAACGTATTTAACGCATTTTATGTAAAATATTCAGTGTTATTTGATAAAAGTAAATAGGGGAAAGAAAGATAGATAGGGGAGAAAACATTCGCGCGTTTTTCGAGCAAACTGTATTCAAGAATTAAAAATTCAAATGCGATATTGTAATGCGGCTTTAATCATAAAAATAATATTGTAATATATATATGTTTCGTCCTGTTTATATTCTCCGAGTTAACATTTTTTGGACATTTTTACTGAGCGTTTCTCGCCATAAAAGAAAAGACGTACTTGTATCTTTATATTCACTTTGTTCTTTCTTAATAACAAAATGCCGGATATATATATATTCAGGATTTTTTTTACGCCGCACTCATAGATGAATCTTGTTTTGAAAGTTTTTCGGAATCTTTACACAGCTATTGACGTGCACGATCTCTCTGCCTGCCTTATTTCTTCGCGAACATGATTAAAACTTCGTAATCTCTTCTACAACCAATTTCTATTTTTCAACGTGTAAAGTTCAGCTATCGGCTGAAGCATTGGCGACAGAGCAAAAGTAATCCACGAGAAGGGGGAGAAGAGAGGGACGGCAGGATTGCAATACTTCCTGAAATTTTCGTGCGCATGAAGCGCATTAACGCGCGTGTAGAGATTCGCGATGATCTCGAGAATTCAAAGCGCTTCCTCGTGAGGTCTGTGGCTACTTCAGTGTACGCGACATTCTATGCTTATTTTCGATTAATGGAAAAAAAAAAAATCCCGCGCCGACCGCAAGGTCCACGCTTGAATTTAGAATCGCGAGTAATAATTGTTGTCGCCGCGTTGGCTTCTTCCCTGCCATCTTTCGTAGGAGATGGCGATGGGCTCAAGTGTGTTTGCACCGTTGCTATCCGCGCAATACGGTGTTTAATATCGGGCCGTTTAAAGCCAGCTTGCGGTCGTGGAACATTGGCACTGTCGGTCGTTCTCTTTAATGGTTATTGGCTCGCAGTAATTCTCTAATCTCTGCTGTCAGCGGCCTCTGTGTTTCCGTTTCAATATGGCCATTCCACGGATTACGAGCGTGGGCCTTGCTGTGGCGTCGTAGGCAGCTGCCATTGGAACTTGATTACTTCGAAGCTTATCGAATCATCCGGCGGAAAATCAGAGGGAAATAACGCGCTGTCCGTCGGACTTGGAGAATGACGATGATCCGTTTCATTGAGCCGCGCTCGCTCGCGGTGCGGAGGAAGGAAAGTCGTGTCCGCGATCGAATCTGTCAACGCTTTCGCCAATATAGAAACAATTTGCTACCGAAACTTGCTCCGTCCGACGGTGGCTGAAAGAACAGTCTCTCGGCATGATTTATTTACTCTTCAAAGATAAACAATATCGCTGTAAAAGCAGCTTGACCTGACATCGGGTGCTTAAGCGCGTACTCCGAAATATAATGCTAGATCCTTCGCTAAACATCGCTTAAGCCGGCCCCTTAGGCGCCTCTTCTTAAGGGATTCCAAAAGCAGTTGAATGAAGCTACCGTTAGTAAACAGTGGCTTACACGTTGCTTAACGTACGCTGAAATTTCGTGATTAATTAAATGCTCGATGTGCCGTCATAATGGGGGCTTTTGGTCATAGTACACGCTCTCATAATAATGCCGTCATAAATTATGAGATACTTGTGGGGGATATCGCGTCAAAATATTGTCGAACCTTCGCATTTTAATATTATTTTATCGGGTGTTAAGTGGCGACGCACGCCTAGTATTTCGAAGTTCGTGCAAATTTGCTCTTTTGCTCTTCTATAAGTAAAATATAAACGAGCGAGTAAACGAATACGATCCGATAATACTCGAATTTGATCCACTGTGCAGGATAGGATCCCGCAACGTGTGTGTAAGGCTCGGGAAAACGTGAACTTTCACGAAGTTATACGGTACAAACGGTAAGACGGGGACACGCTTTTACCAGCGGTTTCAGTTTCATTGTAGACGCGCGGGAACAGTAGTCGCGGCGAAGCTGACTTAAACCGCAGTTACGTTTTTCGGTGACACACATTTGTCTCACATTCCTGCCGAATTCTTGAAATGCCACTTTCGCACCGGCGCGACGGTGTCGGCACCACGATATTGACCCACAGGTGATGCACCGGCGCATGCTCGAAGCCATGGCCGTCGCGTAAATCACATTTTCGATCAAATCGCTCCTACCTATCCGTCCATAATCGATTCGGAGAAAAAAAATCGATTCGCCGTATCTGTATCCAAGGCACCGGGCGCGAGCTTATCGTAGACAACGAGATCGCTTCTTCCCGGTTATCGATCCCGTGGAAAGCCCAACACGGGCGCGAACGACCGTCTTTTATGCTTTGGAAAGTGTCGTCCAATCAGGAACTCCTCGAGGACGTCGTTCCTGATAAAGAGCGTGTATCTTTACGTCCGTATAAAGTAACGAGGAGCCGGCAGAGTTCCGGAGAGCCGTGAACTCGTTTACGTCGCGAGCTCGAGGAGCCGATCGGGATTACATCAAATGGAGATTGATCTGCATTACAAAATCATATCGTTGCAAAGTAGAGTGCGATGGTTGTTTCTCAAGTTATTCCCTTCCCAGAGCGCTCGAATTATTTCTCATTAAAATATGTCGAAAGAAATCCACGACTTTCGATCCGTCTTGCTAAGAGAATCAGAGGGAAGCGGTGAAATTCGTAAAACCATCACCGAATATATCGTCGGAGTTGTAACGTGGATCAATCTTTGAAGCAGCGCGAGACGACTGTTTCTCGTCCTCACGCTTTGATATACGTCGGGAAGGATCTCGTCATTGTCGCAAACTCACTCGATGTCGTCCACGGTCGTGAAATTACGCGTATCAGGATTTTCAGAATTTATCATGAGACTTTTTCACCGTGAAGGAAGGAGCGCGTATCTCTCGGGCGGTTCGGATGGGGATACGCCGTTCGCAGCGAAGCCGAACGAATTTATCACCCGGCGAGATCCGAGACTTTCCTTAATCCGCGTTAAAGAGAAAGAGGTATCCGCGGTGAAGAAGCGCACGCGGCTGAGGGACGACGTTTGGGGATGAGAGAAAGAGAGGAACGCCGGCCGGTTGGTGGAGGATGCGTAAAGCATTGACAAAGGGAAACGGCGATATTTACAGGGGACACAAAAGCATGGACTTGTATATGGTAATGGTTTTGGGTTTACGGGAAGAGATTACGTGTCTTCTCTGCCGATGGTTTAATGGACGATGTGAACTTGGGGCAGTTACGACGCAACGATGCAAATACCGCGCGCGATACATCGGCGTTCCAATCCGTCGATTCTCTTACAAATCATCTTCCTATACGACTCGTCCTTTGTGACTTTCCGAACGCACTCGTACGTGCCGTCGAATAGACATCCATTAAATGATAAATGCGACGTAGCAGGAGGGAAGAAATCTCAAGCAAGCGTGGGATTCTTCGAAACGGCCATTTACTCCGACGTTCGGAGGAGCTGTCTTCTGAAAAGGTAAAGCCAATAAGGGCGTAAATCCATGAAGAATCCACCGTTGTCGCCATTGGGATTTGACCACCTGCCCTAAGGGGCCATACACAGAGGGTCGTTTTATTTTAAATAAACAAGCGCACAAGTGTGACCAGAGGACGCCCTCCTTCGTAGATCGGAGAATTCTTGCGGCGCGAGAAGTTTCCTTCTTACATTTCCGTTTCTCCCTTCTGTCGCGTCGTTAGTCAGGTGACACTGTGACGCGTGACGAGTCGATCGAGTCATTAATCCTGGCGCCGACGACCGGAGATCTTTTGTCCCTCCGCGAACGTGTATTCGTAGAAATATACTAGTTATATGCAGGCGGACTCTGTCTGCGCAGCATTAAAAGACGATATCTTTCTTGAAATTGTCGAACTTTTATACGCTGTATACGCCTTTGAGAGCATCGTCGTCCATTAAACATCGCATTAAAGGACGCCGAGGCGTTGGCGGCTTTACTTCTTGATTTTCTCGAGACACAATAGGTCAATAGTTCTGCCTGTTTCTACAGTATTTTCGCATAGAATGTGGAGGACGAGAGAAGCCGGTGATAAATCGTTAACTTAGGCCCGTATTCATAGGACTTTCTCGAGACAGTCGCAACTTTATCTCTGTTCCACCGTCGTTGAACTTTGATAATGTTTTAGCGTCGAGTAACGGATAATAGAAATTCGATAGTATTTCTGTTTTTTTTTATACCGAGTGCGAAATGTTCAATTAACCTTTTGATTGAGTACGGCGGATATATATATATATATACGGCGTGCCCTGTGGCGGCGCAGTGGCCGTAGAGTGAATATAAATATTATTTACTTCATTTGTTTTATTAAATTTTGTAATACCTTACCTTTCCAGATGAGCCGTCACACGCTGGAATCTCGTGCCTCACACTGCGAGCGCTTTTGATTCGGTTCGCTGCAATCAAGAGGTTAATTTTTCAGCAAGGCCAATCTGATGATCGAGATGTATATAGTATATTGACGACGTGAATATTATTCAATATGCATGTTCACGTGTATGTTGAAAAGCGAGTACAAATTTATTTTACATTTATAAAGGTGGATTGATACGATGTTTCCGAGACTCTCTCGAGCTGCGAAGTTCCATAGACACTTTTCGTCGAAAGCAGTCTTCGCTTACCCTCGTTCGGGCGCAGTATTGATTTGCGTAGTCGCAGAGAAAACTGACGTAATATCAGGTTGCTGTCGTAATAGCAAGTAAATTATGAGCGAGCCCTCTTCACGCGCATTTTGCCGAAGAAATTAATTGATAAGTTAGTTTCGGAAAATGAGGCTGGGTGCTTTGTCCACGAGGAAACTGTGAAGTACGAGGCAGTGAGGCGGGGAAAATTGCTTCTCGATTAAATTGAATTAAAGAGACCGGAAGTTATTAGCAGTACTGGAGATATCGCGAGGTAGCTCCGCGATCTGGCTATCGATAATAAGGGTCTCAGCTCCGCGGAGAAAAAGCGAGGCGAAGCAGGGGAACGATATTGCCGAAAAGTTTGTTTCCGGAGTGGCTTATCTGATGTCGACCAACAGGGAAGTCTGAAATGGGTCTGCAACGGAGTGACGTAAACTGCTTCCCCGAAAATCCTCGATCGCTCGACACCTGATTTCTTTCTTGTGATACCATAGTCTGCGTATCGCGTTTCCGATCGTCCGTACTTTAAATCCTCGTATTTCCATGTGAACATCCCTCGCTGGCACTACATAGATCTTTTGAAAAAGTACACACACTCTAACTCTGTCCGTTAGAGCGTTAAGAAGACACCTTGTCGTTGTAAAACTCTGTGTTACCTCGTACATTTCAACAAATACTCATGTTTTTCGCGACACGTATATATGCGATGCTTCGCCTCAAGATTGCCACTGAGAGGTATTAATATTTTAGATTATATTGTTTCCCATTGGCTGCCCGCACATTAATACAGAGTTAACGTGTCGGTTTACTAGCGCGCCGCGCAGATGATCTTTTAATTTCTCAGGATTTCGTTCCACGCCTATCGACAAACGAACTTACTCGCGTTTGCATAATCCGGAAAATCCGGAAGACGCAATCGTCCGTAGGCTGATCGACTTCGTGAAGACGATACCCCGAGGGCGCAATTTCCTGGGGTTTATGCCATTCCCAAGCGACGCAGGTGCGCGAGCGCGCGCGCCGTATACTCATCCACGTGTAAAGATTACTTACGGATATTGGCACGCAACGGATGGAAATTATCGGCGAGCATTGCTGTGTTTTATGCGAAAGTTCAAAATGCAATCTATATCTACTTTGGAATGTAAAATTTACACGGGCAAACATCTCTATCTTCTTTACGCTCTATCAATATTATTGTGTCTTTAATTATGACTTTAAAATCGAACATGTGTATCGTGAGAGGACACATTAACGGAACACTCGGCGCCACCGCATCGCTCGATATTTCTTATTTATCCGCAATCCCAAAATCACACGACGCGCGGTAGAGATCGATATGATCAATTAATAAAAGGGAAATACTGCTTCGTACGAAACAATTGGTATGCTAAAACGCCTCTAATCGCCATTTTCCGTGCACAGCTCCTCGAAACCGCCTGTAAGCGAGAGAGAATAGGTAATTGCTGGTAATTACGAGGTGTTACCTATTCAGCCGGGCTTTCAAGATCGCGCATAATCGCTGTGTATTCACCGGTTTGGCTTTGAAAACCGGGACAATCAATTTCTCCTCCAAAATGTGCGTCGTATCCTCAGTGTGACACGCGCGTCTCGAATCATTCGTTAAATTTTCAATACAGACAAGCGAAAGAGAGAAAGGAGGGGAAGGAGGAAGCTCCGATCAATCGCCATACATATCTCTGAAAAATCTGTTTGATAAAATTATACATTCCATTATATATTTCTCAATCCCCGAAATGTAAGCATGTTGAGCAATTGTGAGAAAATCTTGGAAATACAAGCTTGTGCAACTCTGAATCTTGTCGAGCAAGGCTGGCGCACCGGTAGGGAAATGAAACGACAAGTCGAAAGCAAAGAGACAGAACGCGTAATCGCTCGTGTATGAGAAAACGCCAGCAGTTTAGCGATCCTTCCAGAATGAGACCGCTTCAATTGGTTTGCGTCCCCGGGGATGGTCACGGTGCCGCAACGGTCCGACGTCACGATCGGCCCCTTTAACCCCCTCCCTCCTGGAACGTCCCCTTCGTATGGTAACTACGGGTAGCAGCCGACCGCAATCTGCATTCCGCTACCTAATTGTCGTAACACGACGATGTATGTAGATGTATACGTACGGCGCATACATCGAGAACGCAGGACACCTTCTCGTATACATGGAATATATATGGGGTGCCCTGTATATGTGGCGAGCCGCAGCAAGTATTTCTCTCATAGAATACCAAATAGACTTTCTTTTTTCAGAAAATGTTGATCGCGCGTCTATTGTGCCGGACCGGTCGATATTCAAGCGCTCGAAGCTATGGACGGATTTAAAAGCCTCGCGGTATTTATTGTATTACCCGAATATCTCCAAAGAATATGCCGCGGAGTAGTCGGCGAAATATTCCGTTTACGACGTTCTCCGAATTCGAACGTTTTTCTCGAAAGAAAAATTGATAATTGAAAAAGAGCATAGTTCTTCCGAGAAATCTCTGAAATATGACGTCTCGCGGAAAAGGAGCCTTCTTCTTAATGAGTCTGATGACTCGTCTTGTGAAAAGTCGCGCATAATAGCACGGTTCTCCGTGTATCCTCGGCCGGTGAGAATAATTCAGCCAGAGGATAGTGACCGGGATTTCGCAGCCTGTTGCAACAAATGAATCCACTGCCTGCCGGCAGGCAATTAACGAGGATTTCGTTAATTGCCCTCTTTGCTGGTCGCCCGCGCGCTACGAAAATACGATGCCGTCCGGAGGCACGAGGATGCATCACGCAAGTCGCGCGTAATTCGCGCCGGCGGCCGCGCGTGTTCCGGCGCGCAGCAAGCTGGCGCCTCTAAATCGTCGAATCCGTCTCTAATACCGTAATGGATTCCAGCAAATTGATAGTTGCTGCTGTACAAATAGCAATATACCCGCGGGTTCTGCGAAACGACGATGACCACCGGTCGAAGTGTCCGCATAGGCGCGCAGAGAGTTAAAGGGGTTAAATTGATAGCGGGGTAGTCTTCAATCCGGAGTAGCGATGTTCCACAATATGTACCGAGTCCCTTTCCCCTTGATTGTTGTTTGAGTACTTTGGAGGGCCTCGTTCTGCATCGTCGTGCGGATCATGTAGTGAACACGCGCGCCGAGCAACCTGTGATTGTTGCTTTGCGCGGGGGAGAAACGGCGTCTTTGCCCGTTCACGCGTGCGGCCTTTTCGAACGGACCGGCAGTTAGAATGAAGGCTATTCATTTCCGAAGGAAACTTCCGAATTTGAGTAAGCCGAAGGTGTGTCTTCGCAATCTTCGAAGAATACAGCCTTGCGAATGAGACTGAGGTTAGATAGATCAGACTCAGATTAGACAGCGAGTTCAAACGACGATTTTTATCTTTTCAACTTCTTATAATTCCGATGTTTCAAAGCTTTGAATCTCTGAGACACTCGAAATTCGAAGCTTTCGAAAGGAGATATTAGCTCTGGTAAGATGTCTCGCAATGCGATTACGCGCTGACCGGATGCAGAAAATGACGGTTACGTTGTAAACTGCGGTCGCAATTTTTTACGGTCAACACACGCACAACTGGAATGAATTTGAGATTTGCGGTCTCTAAGCACTGTCTAGCGGGGTTTATGTTTTGTACGGACGTCCGAGTTCCGACTAATTAGATTTTAAACGCTTCAGCCGACTAATTGGTTACTTTGCCTTTTACCGTACGAACGGGAAGCAATTTCAGTTGCCTTCCGCAACCAACTCGGTTAGTTTTCGTCGCTGTAACATTAAGAGTTGTTTGCGGAAATTACGTGTTATTTTTTTTCCAAGAGTTTCTCATCATCGTTTAACGAATATACGCGATATACTTGCCTATTTGTTTGAGTGTTTGCCGAAATGTTATTCCCCCTCCTTCAAAATCATATTTCTTTCATTCGCTCCAACAACTTTTCTCTCGTGCGGTCACGGAAGAAAATACAAAAAAGACAATGTAATCTTTTACAGCAATCTTTATTCATCAGTACAAGTAATGCGAACACATTCTCTTGTCGGGTCAGAGAAAACGGAAGGAGGTACTCGTTGAATTTCTAAGCATTCATGTGCTTGTTTATCGTGTACTTGGTTGCCAATTCGCTTCGTTAGCCGACAAGCGCGTCGCGAAAGTTCCAGGACATTTCTGAAATCCCTCGGGAAGTTCACAACGACATCACGCTGATAAGACTCGCTCAAACAGTTGTATTACATCGGGCAATTTTTTTTCACGGGAATTTTTCACTCAGCCATTTTTCTCGCGTAAAACTGTACGGGCTACGAGGCAAGGAGAATTCCGCTCTCGCGTGTTTAGCGGTGGAGCACGGTTGATAATGAAGATGTTCGTTGAAATCTTCGTACGTCTAGCTATCCCGCGTACGCAGAGGATAAGTAGACAGGGGGTTGCACATTGCGGCGGGGGAGGACGGACGGTGGCGCTACATTGGCTTTTACGGGCGAAGCTACCATCATCGTAAAGCGCCGCTGCTCGAATATTCCGCAAGCCCTCCCTCTCTCGCCATTTCGCTCTCCCTTGCATTCTCTTTTCCCGCCCGCCCCGTCGGTTTTCGATGACGATCTCGCAGCTGGACCGACTTTGCTGCAGCCCTTTAAAGTGAATTCCGATACATTGGGATGCGACCAAAATGGCATGGACGCGAGCCGACCGGGAGGAGCGAGATTTGAATGTCTTGCTCGGGAATTGGCGAGGGAAGGGACGGCTGGAATTGCTGGAACCTTACCAGCTAACGGTCGCCCGTAGTCGACCCCTCGTGACCCATTCTCTTTCGTATCTCCCCTCTCTCTTCGTTTCGACGACAGCGCACGTAAATATATAACACCGGCTTCCCTTTTGTCGCTTTCGCTCCGCGATTTTTCCGATCTTTCTTTGATTCCTAATCGATAGCTTGATCGTGTCGCGAACGAT